ATTTAATGAATTTTTTAATAGAAATTAATACAAGGTTTTAATTTTAACCAAAGTTAAGAGTTCGGCGGAACCTGCTCCCGACACTCTAGCTCCGACCCTGATATAGCCATAATAAAAATGAAAACACTTTAAGCAGCATAAATTGCGCGATAAAATTAGGTTTCAAACTTCAAATTTAATACCTAAGAATAGGACCAATTATGCAAGCACAACTCAGCTTTAGCTGATAGTGTTGGGACTACTTTGGATATTGAAGTTTCGGTTCTCATGTGCATATTAAATATTGTCTTAGTTGGACACACAACAAGTCATGAATACAATATAAATTTTCACAAAGACATTAAGGAAGTGGGGTATGGAGAAATGAGTATACGTAGCTGCTTCCTTTCCCAGAAGATTCAGAAACACTCAAACAATGTCGTTTATTGTCACGACCCGTATCCCATCCATAACATGTATTGTCTACTTCGGCCTCGATAAATTTCATGGATTTCCCTTAGTTATATAACACCTCACTTTTTCTGATATATGGAATTCTCAAGTGTCGTCATATGCACCTCTTCTTTGAAAGCTTGTCAGCCTAGCCTATTAGTCTTTCGACTTTTGCCTTGAACTGCCTTATCAGTTCACCGTCCGTCATGAACATCATATTTAACTAGTAATGGAAAAGAAGAAGAAAGAATAATGCTAACATTAATAAGAACAATAGAATGATAAGTCTTGGTAGAATCACCAATCGATCAACAAGAACAAATTTTCGTTTTACATATATGAAAAAAAATCAGTAAAGGGAATTATCAATTCTATAGATTGAATCCCAACCCATAAACCTAATGAGAAAAATAATACTGTAAAGTAATACATCTTGTTGCAAATGGAAAAATAAAATAAAATAAAATAAAATTAAAGAGGAAAGTTGGATATTGTTCTTTCTTTAGTCATCTGGAATAACATAGTCATCTGGAACAACAAAAGTGTTTGGATCTTCATTATGTAGCCATCCAAATTTCTCCAAGAAAGGATTTGCTAAAGTTTTTGGTGGATAATTATCAATGCAATCTTTCCAAACATTTTCATTTCCCAAATCTCTTAACACTTCCCACAAACAACTATTACACTTAAACCCTGCACCAAAGCTTATCATTAGCACTTTATCACCTTTCTTTAATCTTTTTTTAGCCTCCATATAACCCAATACATACCAAAGACTACTTGCTGAAGTGTTACCAAATCTATGTAAAGTCATTCTTGCTGGCTCTAAATCATACTCACTTAGATTCAAATTTGTCCCAACTCCATCAATTACTGCTTTTCCTCCTGTATGTAGGCAAATATGATCCACACCTGTTTTAAAATTGATCACTGGCCTAGCTCCTCCTTTTGTTGAACCCCAATTCATTTTTCTAACAAGTGACACAATTGCAAATCTAAGTAACTCTCTCACTGGAAGAATTAAGGGTGCAATTGTTTTCAAATTATCGACTAGTGCCTTAGTCGCGGCCTTTGGTAATGTTTTATCAAGGTGGAAACCTATGTGACCTTGATCATCTTCTTTTTGTATGCAACTATCATAGGCTTCATCTTTTGCACCATGGTGTGTTCTAACTAGGCATTTCAACTTGAACATGGCCTTATTTTTCAAAGCCACTTTGTTTGTCAAGAGAATTGCACACCCTCCTGACCTAAACAAACAATTAGCAAGAATCATAGATCTATTATTCCCTGTGTACCAATTTGGACTCAAGGACTCAGATGTTACCATAAGTGCAACCTTGTTCTTCTCATTCTTGAAAATACTTTGCACGATATTTATCGCTATGACACTAGCACTGCACCCCATCCCAGTGATATTATACACCTTGATATCTTCTCTCATCTTGTAATAATTGATTATTCGACCAGCTAAAGAAGGCATACATGTTAACATGGATATATTCACCACGAGAACATCGATTTCACTAGGGGAAATTCCATTTCTTTTCAAGAGCTTGTCAATACTATCATGGAAAAATTCTTCCATTTCCAAAATCCCATCTTCATATGTAGGACAAGCTTCACGACCATAAAAGACCATTCTTGGTGCATATGTTTGCTCACCAATACCTGAGCTCACAATTGCTTTCAAGAGGAATTGGTACTCATTTATGCCAAGGTGTTTGTTTCTTCTAATTATTTCACCAGAAAATTTTGTGCTAAGCATTCGATCATCGGTCGGCTTATGACATTCGTAGTCCAAAATGTAACAATTTTGGTGTCTCTTTCGATCTATAATCTTCCATATCAAGAAGAGGAGATAAAAGAAAGGAAGACCATAAAACAAAGTGGAAATGAGATCCATGAGAAAGAGAAGAAGAAGAAGAGTCAAAGACTAAAGGATAAAGAGAAGAAAAGAGAAAGGAAAATAGCTTAGGGTTTTTTGTACGTCGCACACCTTAGGTTTTTGGTTGATAAGAAATCTAATTCAAAGTCTTAGTATAAAAAGAAGGATCCAAGTTGGTACATGTGGATAAACGCAATTGGAAAATATAATACTGGTTTTTGTCTTCTCCCAACTCCCACCAACTGATCGGTGCCTGACTCTAACAATCTTAATTACAGGCTATATATATTGAAACGCATTAATTAATTAGGTAAAAAAAGAAAAGGAAATATTAACTTCTATCAACTTTCTGAATTAACAAAAACATCCTTATAATCACTATCAACTTTAAATAATACCAATTATTTTCACAGTTGCATTTCCAAATTAATTTTCTCATTTATAGTACTCCCTTCGTTCCAGTTTATCTGAACCTATTTCCTATTTGGTCCGTTCCAAAAAGAATGGCCCCTTTCTAAATTTGGAAACAATTTAGCTTAAACTTACAATTCTACCTTTAATGATAAGCTTTTGCAGCCACACAAATACACTGGACTCCCTTTTAACTTGTTTAGGACCACAAATTCCAAAAGTCTTCATTTTTTCTTAAACTACGTGCACAATCAAACATGTTCACATAAATTTGAATCGAGGGAGTAATTAGTTTCCTTTCCTAGAATTTATTTTGTGCATGTCATGGTCTGAACAGAAAGTTATTATGGTGGTGTACGGAGAGTGAATTTTAAAGCAACAGATTTGAAATCGCCTAACATTTAAGAATAGGAAGAAGTGGTAGATGGAAGTGTAGTGTATAAAGTTATGAAGCCAACCAGCATTGACTCATCAGACTGCTGGATAAAGCTATTCACGTACCAATTTTTTTTTTTGTTTTAATTTTATAATTTTACATTGTCTGAGTGTATAGAAAAGTTGCTGGTAAAGTTGGCGTAACTGCGTGAAGGGGAGCCTGGCGTAATTGGTAAAGTTGTTGTCATGTGATCAAGAGGCCACGAGTCGAGCCCTGAAAACAGTCTCTTGCAGAAATGTAGGCTAAGACTGCATACAATAGACCCTTGTGGTCCGGCCCTTCCCCTAACCCCATGCATAGCGAAAGCTTAATGTACCGGGCTGCCCCTTTTTTCGTACGTAGAGAAATTAAACTCTATTTTTTTTTGAGTTTTAATTGCCTTATCTCCCCCTCTACAAGTCCTCTCTACGTGCAACAAAAAATTCGAAGCTATTCATTTTGATACTGTAACACGGCAGTCCAAGAAACACAGACGAATTAAAAGAAATGGATAGAGAATATGAACCACACGGCACAACGTTTGACTCTCAAATCTAGCCTCTCTCCTTTTTTTTTCCCCCTGATAAAGTAGATCGGACCCCTCTAAATTGACATATTTAGTGCATACTAAAACTATTTTGACCTGAAATTAGCACTTTAATTATAGTCTTGACCTCCCTTCCGTGACAAAGAGCGTAAATACACTCTCGTTTATGAAATGTATAAGTGAAAAAACTGAAAAACTAACTTTTTAGTGGGTGTTTTTCAACCGTTAATTGCCACATAATAGTATACAATAATCTATTTGTTCCAAATTTGTATTTCTTCTTGTTTCTACATAATATACAAAATATTTTATTCCAAATTTGTATATCCTTATGTTTTTGCTTTAGATGCAATGGTTATTTGTTTCAATTATGAATTTCTCCTTTTGATCAGGTCAGATTTGCAAGAAACTTACATTAACCACATATCTAGTTAAGATGGTTACTCACTATCAAAAAGAATCTCCAAAAATGCCTCCCTAAAGAGCATGAGGAGCATACAACAACAACAAACTCAGTGCAATCCCACACGTGGATCTGGAGCATGAGGAGCATGTTAATAATGTTGAATTCAGCTATCCATGGAGCTCAGCCATGGTGATTGAGCTGAACACTATTAGCTAAAGAGGAAGGCGATTATAGAAATGAATCTCAGGGAATATTCTAGAAGAGGAGAGAGAAGTTGTAATATCTTTTCCAAGTAAAAAATGTATCTGTACATGTGTATATATAATGTGTGAAAACCTAACTGTGGTTAGTACTAAAGTTAACTCTAGTTACTCTAACTCTAGCATAGTCTAAATTAGTTAAAACTAGCAGATGAACAACAAATAAAGCTAACCACCACTATCGCTACTAATGTCAACACTCCCCCTTAAGCTGGAGGGTAAGAATAAGTTTTCAACCCCCAGCTTGCTAAGCAAAAAATAATGTTGTGCCTTTCCAAGACCTTTGGTGAGGATATCTGCCAATTGTGCTTTAGTGTTGGTGTGAGTCTGAACGAGGCGCTGCTGCAGCTTTTCCCTCACAAAGTGGCAATCAATATTAATGTGTTTTGTGCGTTCATGAAAGATATGATTGGCAGCTATTTGAATAGCTTCTTTGCTGGCACAGTGCATGGTAACAGGTAGCTGAACTGTAACTCCTAACTCTTTGAATAGCCCAACCAGCCATGAAAGTTCTGCAACAGTGGAGGCCATACTCCTAAATTCTGCCTCTGCTGAACTCCTAGAAATCGTATTCTGCTTCTTAGATTTCCAAACTTAACAAGGTAACTTGTGACAGACTTTCTAGACTGTGGACAAGCTACCTAGTCAGAGTCACAGTATGCAACCAAGTTGTTAGACCCCTCTGAAGACATCAACGGTCCCAATCCTGGTGCATTCTTCACATATTTGATCACCCTTAAGGCTGCATCCATATGCGATCTCTTTAGGTTATGCATGAATTGACTTAGAACTTGGACAACATAAGCTAAATCAGGTCTAGTCATGGTCAAATATAGTAGCCTTCCTACCAGCCTTTGGTAAGGTTCAGGATCACCCAGAATGCTATCATCTGCATTTGTGCACACCACAACTTCATCAATTTCTACTCTTGTTAGCCTTTGATTACACTCTAATGGATTAGATACTGGTTTATCTCCCCCTAACCCAGAGTCAGCAATCAAGTCAATGGCATATTTTCTTTGGTTCATTGAGATACCGGCTTTACTTCGAGCAAACTCTATGCCTAGAAAGAACCCGAGCTCCCCTAAATCCTTCACCTTGAACTTCATCTGTAGGTTGGCTCTAGTAGTTTGAATCAAAGTTGCATCATTGCCAGTGACCAAAAGTTCATCTACATAGACCAACACATGACTAAGGTTGAGCCCTGTTGTTGTGTGAATAAAGAATAGTCGAAATGGCTTTGAACAAAGCCCAAGTCTTGAAGAGCCTCTCTTAACTTTAGGTTCCATTGCGTGGAATCTTGTTTCAGGCCATAGAGTGACTTCTTTAGTTTACATACTTTAGACCTGGACTCCCCCTTGGTAGTGTACCCTTGTGGAAGTTGCATGTATACCTCTTCAAAGAGATCCTCTTGTAAGAAAGCATTATGCACATCCATTTGATAGATGTACCAATGCTTAGAGGTTTCCATAGCAATAACTGATCTGACTGTAACCATCTTGGCCATTGGAGAGAGAAGGTTTCCTTGTAGTGCAGGCCTTCCTGTTGACTAAAGCCTTTGGCTACAAGTCTAGCCTTGAACCTCTCCACCTCTCTATGAGCTTTGTATGCTACCTTGTATACCCATTTATAGCCTATGGGAGTCTTGTCTGCAGGCAAGTCAACAATTTCCCATGTGTTATTTTCCTCTAAGGCTTCCACTTCTTGATGCATGGCTGTCACCAATCTAGCATCTCTTGCAGCTTCAACATAGTGTTTCGGCTCAACAACAGAAGAGTGTGCTAAGAGACACTTTGCATAGGAAGGGGGGCAAATTTCATAGTTCAAATAGTTTGACATTGGATATACACAGGATGTTGAAATAAAGTCTTGTATCCACTTTGGTGTACCTGTAGTTCTGGGATGTTTTCTGATTGCAATAGGTAATGTGTCAGTGGTACCTTGGTGTTGTGGGAGATTCTCAGTAGCCTCACCAATTGATGGAGGGAGAACATCAAGTGAAGTGTCTGCTTCTTCAGGCATTTCATTAGAATTATGCATTTCACCAATATCTAGGAATTCATCATATATAGAGTCTTCAACATGAGTAGGCTGAGATGCATCATGGATGGGTGGCTCATCAACTGCATCAACTGGTTCAAGGACCGGAAAAATAGGAATAGAAGACACCTTCATGTGCTTGAAAGGAAAAATCTGCTCCTTAAAGATCACATCTCTACTGACCAGGAATTGCTTGGAGTGCAAATCATGTAATGTATCCTTTCTTAGTAGGCGAGTATCCCATAAAACCAACAGGCAATGCCTTAGCTGAAAATTTATCCTGTCTTCTCACATTCACAACATAACATAATCATCCAAATACCTTCAAATGCTCGAGGGAAGGTTCAATGTTAAACAACATCTCATAAGGAGACTTCCCTTTTAGAATTCTGGAAGGTAGTCTGTTTATAATGTGCACAGTTGTGAGAACACAATCTCCCCAAAATCTTAGTGGAATTGCAGCTTGAAATTTCAAAGCCCTAGCCACCTCCAATATATATCTATGTCTCCTTTCTACAATGTCATTCTGTTGTGGATTATATACATATGTAGTCTGATGAATGATCCCCTGTGATTCTAAGAATTGTCTCATATCTGAGTTAACAAATTCTGATCCATTGTCAGTTCTTATTGTCTTGACATGACAATGAAACTGTGTATGGATCATACAGGTGAGCCTCTTCATCAACCAATAAGTTTCATTCTTGGCATTCATTAAAAACAACCAAGTAGATCTAGAAAATCATCTACTACTGTAAGGAAGAATTTTTTTATTATCATAAGTAGGTACTCTATAGGGTACCCATGTAAAAGATGAAAATGAGCATGTGCTAACTCTTACTGACTGGAAATGGCAATTCAGTTTGCCTAGCTAATGGACAAACTGGAAACTCAAAACAATCAATAGCTGATCTATCATTTCCAAATTGCTGCTTGAGCTTGTCAATTCTCTTTAATGCCTCCATAGGTAGGTGTACAAGCCTCTGATGCCAAATTCCCAGCTTTATTGAACTCTGATTTTTTTGTGTTGAAGTCTGCATAGCTGTGGTATGTACAATTGGTGTATTCAACTGTATTTTCTGAATGCAGTCTTTAAGAATGTAGAGCCCATTTGATTCACTACCAATCCCCAACACCTTGCCAGTGTAGAGATCTTAAAACACATATAGGTCAGGAAAAAATGCTACCAAGCATCGTAGCTCTTTAGTAAGTTTTGAAACTGACAATAGGTTGTACTTAAAATGAGGAACATGAAGTACATCACTAATTTTGTGATCCTTGGATATGTTAGTTGAACCACTGTGAGCAATCTCAGCTAATTCTCCATTTGGTAAATGAACTCAACAACCTCTACTTAATGAAACTGCATTATGCAGTAACTCCAACCTTGGAGTTATACGATTGGATGCTCCACTATGTACAATCTAAACACCTTGATTCAAACAAGTCATTAAGGATGTAATAGTACATGTTTCCAGCTCTGCTGCATTAGTTGTAACTTTTGTGGGCTTACTTGTTGAGCAATTGCTGGATTTGTTGGTATTATTCTGGTGTAAAGGTTGGTGCAATGGGAGTGGAAGTGAAGTTTGTTGGTGTAGGCTGTTCAGTCGCAAAATTAGCTGTTCCTTGAGAGTTGTATTTCTTCTTGAATTTGTGATCATTTGGATATCCCACTAGCTTCTAGCATGTGTCCCTAGTATGACCTTTAAATTTGCAGTAATCACATTAGAGATTTTAATTCTTCTTTGGCTTTTGCTGATTTCCAACCCTATTTGTCAACAAGGAAGCCATTTCACTAGCATCTAGACTAGCAGAAGCACTTGCCATAGCCTTTTAGCTTTCACGTTCCATTAGCATAGAATATGCCTTATTCACTGATGGCACTGGGGCCATCATCAAGAGCTGACTTCGAGCTTGCTCATATGATTCATTCAGCCCATCAGAAATTGCAGAAGCTTTTGGTGCTCCATAAACTGAACAAATTCACGAGATTTGGCACAGTCACAACTAGGAATTGGTGCCAAACTATCAAATTCTGCCCAAAGCAGTCTCAATTTTGAGAAATAAGTTGAAATTGAGCTAGTGCCCTGACTAGCAGTAGCAATTTCTTTGTGGAACTGAAAAATCCTAGAACAGTCCACCTTATCAAAACGCTCATTCAAATCATCCCATACCGCACTAGAATTTGAGGAATACACCAGTCCACTCAATAATTCTGGTGAAACACAGTTCATCAACCAAGACAATACAATCGCATTACAACGCTCCAGAGATCAACGAGATTCGTACCGTAATTGTGACGACCCAAAGGGTCATCATCGGATTTTTCTCTTTTCCGTGCTTCCGAGGCCCTGAAAACCTCGCTTTTAGTTGCCTCGATTTGCGTGCGCAGTCCGGGCGCGAAGCCGGAAAGCTTTTATGTTGAAATATGTGAACTTTGTGAAAAATTTAAAGAATTTTGATATTAATATTGCCAAAGTTGACTTTAGTCAATATTTTTGGTAAACGGACCCGGACCCGTGATTTGGCTGTCCCGGAGGGTCCGTAGAAAAATATGGGACTCGGGCATATGCCCGGAGTAGAATTTCGAGGTCGAGAGCCCGAGAAATGAATTTTTCTGTGAAATTGTTTTTCTGAAATTATTAAGGAAAATAGAAATGAAAATTGATTAAAAGACTATGGTATCGGGCTCATATTTTGGTTCCGACGCGCGGTACAAGTCTTAAATATGTGTTAAGCACTTTCTGTGAAGTTTGGTCGAAATCGGACGTCATTTGACGTGTTTCGGACCTAAATATCTAAAGTTTGAAGTTTATGAAGTTATAATGAAAAATCATGTGCCTTGAGGCTTGATTCTATGTAAATGATGTTATTTTAGCGATTTGATCGCGCGAGTAAGTCCGTAGGATGTTTTTGAGGTCGTGTGCATGTTTGGTTTGGAGCCTCCGAGGGCTCGGGTGAATTTTGGATAGGCATCGGATTGCATTTCTCATGTTTTAAAAATCTGGTATGCTGGCTTCTGCAATTTTCGCAAATGCAAAGGGAAGACTCGCAATTGCGAGCTCGCAAATGCGAGCACTGATTCGCAATTGCGAAGTCTGGGAAAATGGGGCACTGTCGCAAATGCGATCAATCTTTCGCAAATGCGAAGGGGGCCCAGATCGCAAATGCGATCATTACTTCGCAAATGCGAAGTCTGCATTGAGGCCCAGTGTTCGCAAATGCGAACTAAAATCTCGCAATTCCCAGACCTGCTGGGTTCGCAATTGCGAACCCAGCTTCGCAATTCCCATACCCACGGCCCAGCAAATTTTATACTTAGTCGAATTTTCATCACTTTTCACCATTCTTTCAAACCTAAAACACCATAGGCGGTTTTCAAGAGCAAACTTCATCCCAAATCACTTGTAAGTTGATTTTTACTCAATTCTTTCAATCTTTAACATCATTAAACATGTTTTCCACTTGAAATCAAAGATTTTCATGGGTGAAATTGGGATTTCTGGGTAGAACCTAGGTTTTCTATAAATTAGGGAGTTGGACCTCGATTTGAGGTCCGATTTCAAAACAAATTATATATTTGAACTCGTGGGGGAATGGGTAACCAGATTTTGGTTCGAACCTCGAGTTTTGACCACGTGGGCCCGGGGCGATTTTGGAATTTTTGGGAAAAACTTGAGAAACTCATTTTATGCATTCAAATTGATTCATATAATGTTTATTAAAGTAATTGAGCAATTTGTGATTAGATTCGAGCGAATTGGAGGTGGAACCGCGAGGTAAAGCAATAGTTGAGGATTAAGTGGATTTCAAGGCTTTGAGGTAAGTGTTTGTTCTAACTTTGGCTTGAGAGAATAGGATTAGGATGTTATTTGCTACTTGCTAAATGTGGAGTACGGTGTATAGGCATGGTGACGGTTGTCTATGCACCAGAGTCTAGCATGACCGTAAGTCTTAATTGCTTTTAATTCGAATGATGCGACACAACTTCCTTGTTTATTTGATAAATTTCATATAATGTGAACGGTTGAGGAAGAATTGTGATTGGTATATTTTGGAGCGTTGGCTCGAACAAGAATATGATAGTTGAGAAAGAAGTGATTTAAAAGAGGATGTGTTGTGATTATTCCCTTGCCGGGACGTGTAGACTATTATTATGTACTCTCCCTTGCCGGGATATTTTGGGCTGTTAGCTGTACCCTTGCCGGGTTAAAGTGTTATGTTGTCGAATTCACCTAATGGGGCCTCC